ATTCATTTATATTTCTTAATTGTTAAAATACAGTAAGCATTTATAATCATAAGAGATATCTTACAAGACTTTATAAAATAATTGATTGCTGACTGATGATAGCGAACATGGAACATTATTGCTTCATTCCGATGTTAGATGGCTCAGCAGGGGAAAAGTATTTCAACGATTTGTAGAACTTCTTTCGCCAATAAAGCAGTTTTTGGAATCCAGAAATGAAAGTTATATAGAATTGGATGATAATAATTGGTTATCCGATCTGTATTTTCTCATGGGCAGAACAGCTAAACTGAACAAACTGAATGAAGATCTCCAGGGAACAGTAAAATGCTTTTTTTCAATTGACTGGGACTATAACTGCTTTTCAGATAAAGTTAAATTTGTGGATAAATCAGATGGAAGAAAACAATTTCATCCATTTTCAGAATTTAACCAAACCATATTAATAACCACAAGGCAACTGAAACAGAGAAATACTCGGAAAACCTAAATGCACTAAATTTTGAACTCCGCTTCTCTGATTTCCATAAAGTTCAACCAATATTATTATTCATCTCAAACCCATTTGCGAAAATTAATATTTCAGACGTATCACATAAGACTGGAAATCTGTTTAACATAAATGGTGATGTTTTGGAAATGTGCTCGCGATAGGCCGAAATGTACTCGCAAGAGGCCAAAGGTTGTGCACCACGATAATCAACTGAATTTAAATATGGACACGCTTGAAAAAATATAGTTAACCTAAATATATATATTTATTTGTGGCCAAAATTAACATTTTTTACAATTAGCAATCTTTATGCTTTCTTTATAATGTTTATCAATCTTATATTGTTTTTCATACTTTTAGAGGTATGTCTAAAACTTTGTTTTCAAGAATAAGACTATAATATAAGACTTTGTTTTTAAGAACAAGGCTATAGATTTTATGAGACTGTGTATATCTTATGTTTTGCTTATTGAATAGGTATACACTTTATATTTTGTTTATTGGATAGGTATAGATTTTATGTATTGCTTATTGTGCATTGTTTTTACTTTTTCTTCTTTTCCATTTGCAAATTGCTGCATCGTTTAATACTGTGAAAATATAGAAAAGCTTTCTTAATATTTATTTATTGCTAACTGCTACTTTTTTCTCTTCCTCCCCCACTTGAACAAGCAGGTATTTAATTTATTTATTTAATGTTTTATATTCATTTTTATCTTCATTGATGGTTGAAATTTGCTTTATTTTTTTCTTTTAGGCTGCTTCAGTTTTACTAGAAATCAATTCCCTTCCCCTTTTTTAATTTAATGATGGCATGAAATGCAATATATAGCATTTTGATTTAATTTCTAAATTGTATGTGACTTGTCTTTTAGAGTTACATAAGATGTAAATTGTTTGTAAAAATAGCTCATGGAATCAACTCATCCAGTATATGGCCGTATTGTAAGTAATATTGACAGCTACTCCATGGGGTGTTAATTTTTGAGATGATTAATTCTTTTTGTGTATTCTAAGGATGTGTGTGTAATACAAGACATCTAATTTTTTTCATGTGACTAATTCTTTTTGTGTATTATAAAAATATATGTACAGCACCATCCTGTCAGGTTTTTTTTTTTTTTTTTTTTTTTGTGTGTGTGTGTGTGTGTGAATTTTAAGAATGTATGCATGGCATATAATTTTTTTTGTGTATCTGTTCTAAGAATATGAACAGTACATGGCATCTAATTTTTTTACTAATACTTTTTATGTATTCTAAGGATTATGTACAGTACATGGTATCTAAGTTTTTAATGTAATTAATACTTTTTTGTGTGTTCTAAATATGTATGAGCAGTACATCACATATAATTTTTTGATGTGACTGATGCCTTTTTTGTATTCTAAGGATGTATCTGCAGTACATGGTTTCTAATTTTTTTATGTGGTGAATACTTTTGGTGTAATATAAAGATAAAAATGTATTTTTTCACAAAATAAGTGTATATTTATTTTTATATATTTCAGTATCTAGTCTATAACTGCAGTCCAAGAATTTTTTTTAAGCTCTCAAAGAAACAGCTCATTTTTTCAGAAACATTTTTGATGTTAACAACGAATGGATTTCATCAACAATGAAGAACTCAAGTGTAGCCTGTTAATTTTGAGAATGAAACCAGAAAGAACTGTTAGTTACTGACTGACTGAATCATATAGAATCTGGCAATTGTCAGCTGAAATTAAGAGCCAATGTTTACTTTCATCAAACCATAAAAATATTAAATACTTAGTATTGAGTTGAAACTATATATCAATTCCTTAGGCTAAGTAAAATAAAATGACATATATGCATTGGCTCTGTTATTTATTTTGTGTATGAAAAGGTTAATACACAAATATGTATGCAAATGCATTTGAACTGGTGTGTATATAACAGGTACTTTCAAATTATTTACCTTCCCCCTTGAAAAGTTTCCAACTCATTGCCAACTTTGTGAATTGGTGAAAAACTTTTGCTTGACTACATTTATGCCTAATATATGCTGTTCTATTCATAAGTTGTGATGTTCTACTGTGCCAAAATATATTCTTTGCTGCTGTTTTAAAACTGTCAGCACCTAAACCTTAGTCTGCATACTAGGGGGGACCTCAGCACTACCATTCTAAAAATTATTGCAATAATGTATGGCACTTAACAGCCTGCAACCCAGAAAAATATGCAAACAGATGCAAAACAGTTGGAAAACAAATCTACTGTCATGAGCACAAGCTCTTTAGGTAGTTATATGCTCAGATGACATGGACTCAGAAGTGGAAATAGAACTGGAAATGAATATCCCTAAATATCTTTTACCCCAGAGAAAACAAAAAAAGCAGCACAAAGAAAGCAAACTTTCATAATGGCTATTCTGTTTTTGTGGAACTATCGTAGATTAAACAAGAATCTTGCTAATAAAAGAGTTAACTGGCAAACATCCTTTCTGCTTTGCAGCACAAGAAGCAATTTTGAAACCCAACCAACAGGTTAAGTTTCAGAAGTATTGTTTTGATAGGAGGAATAAGGTTTTTACTGACCATGTCAGTGGCAGTGTAGGTCTACTTACTTACTACCAGACTTCACTATTTGTCAAGCATCCTTCATCTCTCTGCTTGTCTCCAAGCTGTTACAGTTCAAGTTAATATTGATGTCAGTTATGGCATCAGTTATGAAATGCTTAAGAATTGTTAACTCATTGGTTGCCCTTCTGTCTCTGTATAGCCAAGCATGAAAGGAGCATATTTTTCTCAGTTCATGGAAGAAAGCTGAGTCACTTCCATTGTTAAGACAGAGAAAGACCCAAAGAGTCTCTTAAACTATCAACCTGTCACACTTACAAGCTGTCTTCGCAGATTATTTGAAAAAATGGTAAACTTCTGCCTAGTCTGCTACTTGGAAGGGGGGGACAATGTCATCTCAACTCATCAGAGAGGGTTTTCACGAAGGAAGAAACATCAATAACATGCTGTTTTTGGAAACCACCATTTGTAAAGCCTTTATGAAAGAAACCATCTAGTTTCTCTCTTCTTTGGCAAGGAAAAAGCTTATGACAGGGTATGGTGGTATGACATTCTAAGTGATCTTCACCCCTATGGTTTGCGTGGCAGTCTGCCAATATTTATCCAGATTTTTTTTATGGCGAGGACTATCCAGATAATAATTGACTCTGAGCTATCACATGGGTTTGTCAAAAAGAGGGTGTGTCCCAAAGTTCTGTACTTAATGTAATACTTTTTAGTTTAAATATTGAATATAGTCATTGATATTAAATCCTTTACTGCTGGATACCTTATCATGTCAGTTCAAAAGGGGGCGAGCTGGCAAATATGACAGAAAGTCTGCACTTCATATTTTTAATCGACTTTTTCCTTATAGTAATATCAAAAGGTCATCAAGCAAAAGGTCTTGAACAAGTGGCCGCAACTATGGGATGTTAATTCTGCTAAATAATAAGTTGTGAAGCACCAAGCATAAAATAGGATATTAGGAGGCTACTAGGAACTGGTGGGAGGAAGTAATTTTAACTCGTCTTAGAATTGGTCACTTTTTTCTTTTCTTTTCACCATTGATGGAACAGCTGGCCCACTGGGTTAGGTGCTTTCTCAATTTACTTATAATCATCTTTTAAAAGCCAAGAGTGAACAACTGTAATGCTGTAACTGTAAGGCTTGATCATCATTTTTTAATTGAGTGCTCATATCTTGACAGTCTTTAAGTGAAGCATTTTAGCAACTTACCTGAAAGAGACAGGTCTTCATTATTCAATTTGATTTAACTTTGAAGTTGTTCCTTGGTATTTTGGTACTGTGCATTTTAATGTTTCTCTTATTTATTGATGTTATTCTTATTTGACTTCTGAAATCATCTGAATTTTATTTATATTTCATCTCAGCTTTTATAGTTTTATTACCTCATTTGATTTTGTAAATCTACTGAGGTTTTAAATTTGTGTTTGGAAAGATTTAACAAAGATCTGGAGCACATATATAATATTTCTGTTATGCCCTAAAAAATCCACAACCACCACCACCATCTGCAGTCTTTGGAAAGATCTATGAGAAATGTATTTGCTCATATCTCACATTCTGCTTGAGCTATTTTTACAACTTAAGCATTGATGAATTGAGAAAATGGTAATTAATATAAGAACCAAGCATAGAATATGCAAAACAAGCAAATCCTAAAAGCAACAAATATATAAATAACTAAATAAATAAATACATAATACTACAGTAATGCAATAAAAAAGGATTTAAATATTTACAGATGTATGCAACAATATTTTATGGAAGGTTCATTGCTGGGTTGTCTTCTGTATGGGGCATTCTGTATCAACTAATAATTCTTGTCATTTTCTAAATTTTAGCAAATATAGTGTTTCATATTAACATTTTTTATTTTTTATGCAATTTTAAATTTTATTTTCATTGTCTGTTTTTTATTCTATATATATTTTTTCTTTTTAAGTGAAAAGGCTATTTATTGCAGGGTTTTCTTTTTTATGGAAGTGATTTTAAACCAACTGATCTTCCTCTTCCTCGGAAGCCATATCACGACTGGGCTTTATTACATGAAGAATCACCAAAGAATAATTTCTTGTTTTCTGTGGAAAAGGTGAATAGTTAATTAATGAATATGTTGCATGCCAGGATATATTACTACCATCACTTACTTAGCATAGGTTTGGATTAAATATGGTTTATTAATGCAACATATTTTTATTGATTTTGAGATGAAATTTACATGCCTTTTCCAAGGAATATTTTACAATGCTTTTGTCTAAATGAGTCTTTGCTAAAAGAAGAAGAAAAAACCAACAGTTTTGTAATATTTTTTTGTATAAAATTTCCACCAGAAGATGCAAATGAGGCTTTAATAGCCAAGTAATTACTTAGCTAAAATCACAAATAGCTGGCTGACATTGATCTTTGGACACATCAATCAACAGCAAGTATATGAGTATGATGGTGTCAAATTACCTTAGAATATATTGTTAATAGTGAAAAGAATTTACAAAAGTTTAAAAAATATTTCACATGTTAAATGTTTACTATATGTAAAAACTTATCAACTTCAATTCAGATCTTTAAAGAAGCATAAAATTCAATAAATGATAGCTAATGTGCTGAGGCACTATAAGGCAAAATGTGAAGGAAAGGAAGATTAAAAAGTATTCATTTTTATATAGGCTTTGTTTTGCTTTTTTTAAATGTTTTATAAATAGTTAAAGAGAAACTTTAATATAAAAAGTGATTTTGATGAATATTTAGATCATTATAAAAATTTCTGCCATCATATTAAATAGAGTTTCTTTATCAAATTATTTTAGCAGTTATATATATTACATTCTTTTGTCTGTTAAAACTAGACTGTAAAGTAAACTTTTGACTTCTTCATGTTCTGTTTGGTTTTTAAAATTTCTATTTGTAGCTCCCTAAAACATTTTATAGTTTTGTATGAGAAATAAAATATTATTTGAGCTTTTTCTTACATGTAATGTAGCTAAAATTATTTGACATTTGTTTTGTTTCAAGCGGATTTGCTCACATGAGATGCATATGATTAACATGTAATGTAGCTAAAATTATTTGACATTTGTTTTGTTTCAAGCGGATTTGCTCACATGAGATGCATATGATTAATGCTATAAAAGGTAATTGCAAATAAATCAACACTTGGACATCTTCTGCTTTTACAATAGTTAATGAAGAGACTGAATAAATGAGTTGTCAGAATTTGTATTGCAAGTGGGTCATTCTGTGTATTTGAATGCTCTCGACATGACTATTTTTATAGTGACATTGTCATGAAGTGGTAGTCATATAACAGTTTATGTATTATTGTAAAGATCCAGTATTTGATCTAATAGGTCTTATAAGTTAGTAAATTAGTTCAAGCAAAGTCTCAAATGTGTTGTAAATAAAATTATCAGACAGCTTTATAATCTGCTACAAATGACATGTATCTCACCAGAAGAGAGAGCCAAAGTAGGTTCATTGGAAGCTGATTGCATTTGACTGTTATGTCATCTGCTACTTGGAAGTTATTGGTCACACTTGCTAATACTTGTCATTGTTTGGAACAGTGTAATCAATAGCATCATTGGACTATATATCTGTAGAAGATTCTTTGGAGCAGTTAGTCATGGCTGTATAGTTTGAAATTTTAACAGAAATGCTTTTCAAATGGCTTTGTTGGGTGTGTGTGTGTGATGCATTGAGAGTGAAATTTGGAGTATAATAACACAGTCGTCTGGAGCTGAGTTGCTTTTGATATTTTGGTCTTTGTTACTCAATTTTAATCACTAAATTCTTAATATACCCAGATATTTTTGATAACAGCATCATTCCCTCAGATTCTGGAAATATTTTCTTAGTGTTCCCTTCCCTTGAAAATGGAGAAAATTGCATGAAAACTCTTGTGTTGATTAATAGGGTTCTCACATCTAGCCATATGTGATGCTATAGGACAATTTTCCAAGAAACAAGTTTCTCCGAGTATTGGTTTAAATGAAAAGTTTCAAACCAAAACATTTGCATTCTGCGATGTTTTGTGGTACATACCCAGGATATTTTATGCTGGTGAAAAAGTTTCACTGAACAGTTCTGTCTTGCACAAGAAGTGAAAGGACAGATTGTACTTCTGGAGGCCTTTGCATAAGCCAGGCAATCAGATTTACCAGCAGCAAAAATTCCTAAATTTTTCTGTTGATGCACAGTTGAAGGTAGCTAATAGATTTGATAGCGGTTCAAGTAAGATATTAGCTTCATCTGAAAACTTTCAGTTGGAGGAGCTTTACTAGCCTAGAGCATAGTCAATACTTTAATTCACTGAACATGTTTGGGAAATGTTGGAGTTTTAATAGCATGAAAATTATATTCATTCAATTATTATATATTAACTAATTTATTATATATTATTATCTTTACTTTGTTACAGAAAGAATAAAAGTTGATTCATGCAGTAATTTATCAGAGTAAGAGTAATTTATCAGAGTTAAGAGGAAAACCTTTTTCTGAATGATAATAGCTGCAGTAGCAGCGTAAAGGATCTCTAGTTTTTTTATTAATTAAAGTGCATTAACCATATGAAATATTATGAAAATTCTTTATTAAGCAGTGACATATTTAAATAAAAAGCTTTGTTTCAAATTATGTATAATTCAGAAACGGCTTATATGAAGAAATGTTCTAAATTAAAAAATATAATGGATGTGTAATAATTTATAGCTGTATACACTCTTTTGATGAAGAACCTTGAAAGAACATACAAAAATAATGCTTACAGTTTTTTTTGCATTGAAAATAATTTGCTATGGAAGGAAAATTACCCAGGTTTGCATCTTTTGTTTATTTGGGGGCATTAATATATGTCATCATCATGAAATATTACAATTTAACACTGTAAAATATTTATTGAAGATTCTGTTAAAGCAATTTATAATGTATGATATTATATTTAATACAATATGCATAGCTCTTTTGGTAAAAGTATGAATAGTTAGCATCTTAATTTTATTAGATATGTGCAATTGAACCATTAGTCATGCAGTTCTCTTGTAGGTGATGAAATTGTTCAACCACACTGCAACTTTTCGTAGGGAATCAGATCTTCCACTCACCTTGCAGTATTTAGAAAGTGTGGAGTCTTTAAAGTCAAAGAAATTTTTTGTGCCTACTTCTGTTAAAAATGCAAAAGGTAAAGAATTAGCTCCTGTTGTCTATGTACAGTCAGACTGCAATACACCTTCGGAACGGGATTCCTACGTGGAAGAACTTTCTAAGCATATCCCTGTTGATTCTTATGGAAAATGTTTACATAATAAGGAGTTGCCACCTGAGTAAGTTATTTCTATATTTGCTGTTTCTTCTATCATGCGACTTCCCAGGATAAGTTTTCTCAAATTTTGATATTTAGCTCATAAAACTTTGATATTTAAGCGCAAGCTCTTCAGAAGCTGAAATGAAGGTAAATAAATCAGTGGAAAGTTTATGGCACTTTTAATGAGATAAAAACTGGGTTTGACTTGAGTAATAATAATTACATTTACAAAAGTTTAAAAAATAAGTGAGTGAAAGCATGATTTTCGTAACATTTTTTGGTACTTTCTGATTATCTGCACTTCAGCAGAAATGTTGCAAAAAAGTATTTGTGAAATAAAGCAATGTGTCACTGAAATAGTTATGTGGTAAGCATGTCTGTTTTGGCCTTTGCATAATACTGAATTGCACAGATGCCATGTTTATGCAATTCATTGATTTTTTTAAGTGAAAACAGATTGCTGTATACATGGGAAGAACAACCGCACAAAAAAAAAAAAAAAAAAAAAAGGATTTTTTAGAAATGTGTTTTATTAGTGATGTTTTTTTGCTTTTCAAGTTTTATTTATTGATTTTGTTGTATTGAATTCTTAGTGTGTTGCAAATTTGAAAATGGCTGTTGCCTTTTGCGCACTAGCTTGGCGAAAAATTAGTTGCCTATGAATTCGCAAATGCTCTGCAAAGTTGGCAATGAGTTTGAAACTTTTTGGTGGGAATTTAGATAATCAGAAAGTATCCATTTTTCATCAGTGACCTCTTTCAATTTTATAAAATATTTTGCAACCCCCTGTTTTGTAAAAGCTTAATTGTTAGAGATTATTCTAGGTTGGAACATGGTACATGGGTAACAAATATTGTTTTATATAATAGAACATAAATAAACTTTTGACATTGCCATATTTTCCAATTATTGGATGTAATTTAACATAGTCCTTGATTAGTCTGTGTAAACCTAAGTAGTAATTATTGGTATAACCATTCAATATCAGGAGCATAAATAATGCATACTGCACATTCAGTTAGCTTGTACACTTCATTAGATATGGATAATTATTTATTTACATTTATAGCCATTGTTCTTTTAGATAGTTCTAAGTTCCATTCTGAATGGATATGTTTTTTTCAAATAAAATGGGCTGCTGATTTTACTTTCCATCATAATATTAGCTACTAACTTCCAACAGCTAATGACAACATTAGAAATTTTGTGAGTCATTGATTGGTGATCTAAAGAATTTTCTAAAAAAAATGTAGCTTCATTGATGATATATTCTAGTTGCAAATTATTTATATGCCTTGTAAAATTATGTTATGTCAAGAGGAATATTACTTCAGAAGTTACTCTTTCTGTAATATCTGAGCATTTCATCTGACACTGGTTTTTGGATTAAAATATTGTTGCAATCCTTGTAAGAAAATTTGTACAGTACAAATTTTCTTACAAGGAAATCTGGACGAAGTCTGAAATGACTTCCGACGAAGTCTGAAATCCGGACTCGTCGGGACTTCGGCGATTCTGGATTTGGGATTTTTCCGGATATTAGATCAACAATTTAAATCTATAATTAAGATGGCAATCTATAAGTAAGATGGCATGTAGAAAATATAAAATTAAAAATGTGAAATCGTGATTTATGAAATAATGAAGTATTTATGATCTAAAGGGTATCAAAATTTACAAAAAAGATTAATATTTATTTGTTTACCTTATTAAACATTTCTTTCAATGTAAGTTACTTAAGTTGCTTTATTTATTTTTTTTTTTTTTTTGCTAATACTTTCTCTTTAATTCTGTAGACTGGCATAATCTCTTGTTTAGTTATATTGTGAAGTCCTGTAACTGCTGTGTCGAAAATTCCAACTAACTTGTGAATTGAAATTTTTTCGTTTTTAGTAACTTCTCTGTCACTTTCTTCACTATCAGTAGTGATATTTTCTGGATCTAGAACCATACTGCAGATTTCACCATTCATTAATTTATTGATGATTGAGAAGCATTGCCATCACAATGAAAACCTTCTTTTATATCATCTTTATTTATTACCACTTCACCACATTTCTTTACAAAATCTGTTAATTGGAAAATTTCACCTTTCTTTTTGCAATATCTGAAAACTTTTAAAACTTGCAGCTATCATCATCAAATTTAGTTGTCGTTCACTATACATATTTGGCTATGCATCATGAGCTTGGCGACTAATGACAAGTTGTTATGTTAAATTTTATCTTATGTTATGTTATTTTCTTCCTTTACGTTCATACAGGTTCATAGATTTAGAGTTAATAAGGACAACAGCACTCGATGAAGTATCTAAACACACTTTATTGGCCAGTGTTCTCAGGACAGCTCTAAAATCTCATTTTTACAGTTCTCGAAGAACTACTATAGACATGCTGTAGCAATCAGCAACACAGCCTTCAGGCAATCAGGCTATAATGGTGAAGACAGCTTCACAGCAAAGTACCAGAGTACAGCACCCGACTCTGCACGGTTGTTCTTGGAACACCACGTACTCTCAAGACTCTCCACACTACAACTCGCGATGCACTTGACGATACAACTCGGAGTACAGCTCCTCAGTTCAGTCATTCTCAGAGCTCAACACACTCTCTCGACGATGCACTAACTGCGATACACTAAGAGACTTTCGGTGCACTTGATGACGACCAACTCCGCACTCACTGACAGACTGTCAACTCGATCGAGTCCGCACAGACTAACTAACTCTCTGGACTGTCAGTAACTGACTTTCCACATACCAGCAGGGTTTACATAGCTTTTGGCTTGTGTTCAAGAACATTCTGGGCTAAACCGGGAAGAATTCGTTCCAGAAGGTTCTCCATCTGTCTATGGCACATTGCCAATTTTGTCGTCAAACAGGCGATTTCTCACCAAATGTGGCAACCCTGCATAGCCTTGTTATTTTCTGGCAACCCTAAACCTGCTTTGCAGGGAAGCTATCTTACCCGCACCTGGACATTTCATAACACTTGCTTCTATCGTGCACTGAGACAATTAAGCCTGAATTGTATTAGTTTACTTATTTATTATACTTTTGTCTATTTCTTGCACATGCTTAAGGCTTACCAGAGTTTTGAATAAATAAATTTCCACATATACTTAAGCTAGATATCTTATGGCCTGAATGCAGTCTCTGTGGGTCATAAATTCTCGGCCTGGTGTGGCCATATGAGCCCTGGCGCTGGTTCTGGGTTTATGTGAATAAAAATTCAGTTATTCTTAATTCAAATAGCTCTAAATATAATCTTTGGGTCTGTGAGTATCATCAACAAACTCTATTTTTAGCATATGGAAAGAAAATTTTGTTAAATTTTTCCTCGTCAACACTTTTTAGCACATCTAACTTAAATCTGTAAACATCGCCAAGCGTAATGTCAACATAAAAGGTTACCATACTACTTTATTATTCAATTACTAACATAAAAAAATGTTTAGGCATCGCTACATGAGTCATTACTCAAGTTATCTTGTTGTCATGTATTGATAAACATGCGGTGAGGAAAGGAAAGTATAATAAATAACGATTCGCCAGGTTGGCGTCAGATAACGATGTATCTGTGTGGAATGTTTCGGTTTGAAATGTGTGCCAAGCAGATATGCAACAACAGAGCCAAATTACTGATTGTACATATTTATGCTAAAATGTTTGTTTTTTCAATAATAAGGTATTTTGTAATCAAGGTAATCAAATGCACATGCGTAAAGCCTACGAGAAAAACCTTGTTGGTGGTTTTGAGGTCCGGATTTTAGATCATTCCGGATATTGGATGTCCAGATTTTAGATTTTGTACTGTATTTGTATAGGTCCTAATGACATGATAAAATTCGAGAAGGAAGAATATGTAAAAAATAAATTACCGAGAGATAGCCTGAAACCACATAGAAAGACAACAAGAGCCTGAAAACTTTTTGTTATGCGACAGCAAAAGAACGGTGTTATTTATAAAGATAAAAATTTTAATTTTTTATAAAAAAAAATATTAAAATGCTGGTGGGATCTTGAATAATTTGTATGCTATCTTTACATTTATTCCATGTCAAATTATGCTCACTTCATTAGTAAATGGTAGAAGAATGTATTTAAAAGTTTTTTTTTTTTTTTTTCTCTAAATATATTTTGAGTAGAAGGCTGTAATGTGAATCATTTTATTATGTCGTACAGTTTTCCCCAACAGTACTCTTTGGAACTATGGTGTTCCTTAAAAAATCTTGAAACTCGGGTTACATAACAATAAAACATTGTTTGCTTTTGTATGTATTTAACACAATTTAAAAGAACTCTTAAAAGAAATTTAAAGAGAAGATATAAAACAAATTAATTTAAATTGTGCTTGTATTAAATTTAGTAATGCAGCATGACACCAGCTGGCTTGCATTGCCAATGAAATGTATGCATAATGCATTTCTGTTAGTGTTTGTGTTCTGTGAACAGAAGTAAAGAAGTAATTTAGTGTCTGTTTATTAAAGTGTTATTTTTCTTAGTACTTTTCTATTTTATCTTCTTGTTGAAACTGTTAAGTAAATATAAAATTTTTGCTAAGTGTAACATTTTAAGTGCTAACTGTACAATAAGTGTACCATTTTTATTGATCATAAAAAGTTAATAAAGACATCCTGACTTTACAAACTTTTGCTTTATGAACTTCCACAATTTCAGATTTATTCTCATAGAGTGGAATATGTTCAGAATCGAAATGAAAATAAACAAATGAGTGTGCACAGTGTCATACTGCATCTTATTTATGAAGAAAGAAAAAAAAAAAAAAACCTGTTCAGACAAGCTTTATATACTTAAGAAAAAAACTTCAGAAATCGGTGTTGTTAGCCCATCTATCCTCACCTCGTTCACATTCCTTAAAGATAGTAGTCCAAGTTACATACAGCTTAGTAAAGATTCTTTATTTATTTATAATTACTTTAATTTATAATACATTGTATTAAAATTAAAAATGTATTTTTTATTTGTTTTAATATTTTTAATTATCCATTTAATAATAT